ACTGAATGTCCAACAGCCGGGACAGCCTGAAAGTTCCGGATCCAACAGAGTTCATAAATCTGAGCAACATGGAAGTGGAAAAGAGATGGTAGATGTTCGAGGGAAGACTAAAGTTATACCTTCTTCTTACCACTAACCAAAGAGAGGAGGTCAGAAGATAAAAGCAGGGATAAAGGTGGGTAACAAAGATCAAAAGGTAAACAAATTAGTATACAATCTCCATTTTCATCTTCTTTATTTATGATTATTTTTATTTCCCTAATTTTTACATTTATGTTTCTACATATTTAGATTCAGCTGGGAGAACATATGAGGAAACTGAGACTTCAATTTGACGATCTAAAGAATACAAAGGAAGAGTTGGGAGAGGAGAACGAGAGTTTTAAATCTGAGATTACTGCTCTGGAGCAGAAGATAGAGAGACGAAGAAAGTTAAAGGTAACATCTCTATCTTCATCTCTTTTTCTCTTCTATTCATGGATAGTAGCAAAATGTGTTCTTTCTCTAGATTTTTTAAATGATTCTTCAAAATGATGAATGAAATGCCATCAGCTGCTTTATAACTTTTTAGGCTCTATTTATTATGAACGTAGTTTTTGGTTTTTATAAATTTTGCAATCCTAAACACAAAACTCGTTTACTTTTATGTGTTTGTGCAACATGTTATCATGATTACTAGAAATATAAGAACAAAAATAGTTTTAATACTATTAAAAAAGTTTGCATTTTTCGTTATCAATGTTAAAACTTGTCTTAAACAAATTGTTAATTTTTTATTTTTAGTTTTGGTTTTTAGTAGTTGCAATTTTTAAGAAAATCAAAATTAAAAACCAAAAACCACAACTATATTAAACAGAGCCTTAATTACTAGGTAGACCTTGTTGTGTGAAGACCTTAATTACTAGGTAGACCCTGCCGTAAAAAGAAAAGAGAGTGGAAAAGCTAGGCACATCTTATGTTTTGCTTGATTACTGTACCTGTTGATGTGGGTGGTAATAAAATTATCTGCAAGTTAGGCTCTCTACATATCAATTCTTAGTTTTCTGTTTCTGGCATTGCAGAGGAATATGTTGATGGACTGGAGATTTAGCTGACTACCTGTTTTTATGGAGTGTGATAGTTCTTATTTGATGCGCATCTTTTATTGTTATTACTGGAAATAAATTATCTGAAATGTTTATGGCATTGCAGGAGAATATGTTTATGATGATTTATCTGGTGCTAAACTTCTTGATGAGTTATGATAATTCTTATCTGATGCACTGCTTCTTTTTTTTTTTTTTTCTTTTCCTTTTTGTTGTAACACTAGGGTGCTTCTTGGATGCAACTTTGATAGTGGTTTTATTTTCTTATTTTTTATTTTTTATTTTTTATTTTTTATCTTGAGTTGTACAATAGGAAGCAACCCTCTCCTATTCCATAACTCACCTTATCCGCATACCATATGACTTAAATTCAAGACTCCTTACTTCCACTTTCATTGGAATTAGATTACTACTGAATTACTTAAATCATTGGCTTGATAGTTGATCTTTTTGTTGTTGCACTGCAAAATTTCCCCATTGAGTAGCTTTTTAGAATAATGACTGCATTATTGTGGTATTGTGTGTTGACAATTTCTCCTCATTAATGGGGCTACTCGGTAGCATTGAAGGTTGATGACAATTGTGATGCATCACTATTCGATTGTTGATCTCTAACTCCCAATCACTAATTCCTTCCTTTTCCATGTTGTTTCAGATTAATGCCCATATTCCTCTCCCAAGTCCCAAAGAAGGACTTGCAATAAACAAGCTAATTACTTGGTACAGAACCTTCACAAGCTGAAGTATTGGAGTCTGACATCAACCAATACCTGGATGAGTTGGAGGAGATGAGGGCTACCTGCTACCCACAAAGCATTGAAAATGGAGAAAGCTAGGCTCATCTCTAAGCTAACTGCTCTTGATGAGACTTTGAAGACACTAAAAAAAAAAAATGATAAGGTAACATTTCTCTCTGGCGTCTATCTTCATCTCTAAAAGTGCATCCTGAGAGATTTCTAAATAATTGTACTTATAGAAAACAAGCTGGTTCTTCAAAATGATATGGACCAACTGTGATGCACTACTTTTGATTGTTGATCTCTCAGTTTCAATTACTAATTCTTTTACTTATTTATGTTTCAGACTGATAATGAAATTCCTTCAGCATGTTGCATTGAAGAACTTGCAACAAACAAGCTTGTTACTCCAGTTATAGAACTTCCCAAACTGGAATACCATATGATAATGATGTCCTGGAACATTAATGTATTGAAGAACTTGATGTCAATAACTTGTTTTTCTAGACAATCGATAACCTGTTTTTTCCTCATCTCCTGCAGGCAAAGGCACCACTGAGGGAGCCTTAAAGTTGAGTAAGAGGGAAGACAAGCTAACTGAGGTGCCAAAGGGAAAGCTCGCAGCAGCAGTTGATGGCACATCCACATGTTGGCCAAGAAGCAGCACTTTTTCTAGCAACTTCATCTCCACTATTTGCCAGTTAATCCTGCAATTTGCTACTGCACTGGTCACTCAGAATCATCTGGTTTCCACTGCTGGGGATGCTGAATTGAGGAGGCCACACATGACGAGCAAGCCTTAACTTTGGCCTTGAATATAAAGGGCACAACTGATGTTCAGAAGCTTGAGAAGGTTAATTTGCAAAAGTAATTGTCTTTCATTCCCTCTGCTTTTTCCTTATTTTCTTCCTCAACCCTTTTTTGAGTAGCAACTCTTTTCCTCTGACTTTACCATCATATGGAGGATAGTGTTTCCCTTGCCTACTACTCTGCACTGGAGATAGTGATAGCATGAAGAAAATCTAGAGCTGTGAATGCCGAAGAGGACAGTGCCAACCAAACCATAGTAACTGCTGACGGTGATAACTAGGGAATGGGTGTTAGTGGTCTCGTGCAGGAACCCATCCATGGCGGCACAATAGCAGCGGTTGTGGAAGATCACTAAATTTCTGCTTTTAGTTGAGAATTAAGTTTGGATTTAACCTTCTCAAGCTTCGGAACATCAGTTGTACCCTTTATACCCAAGGCAGAGGTTGAGGCTTGCTTGTCATGTGTGGCCTTCCTCGATTCAGCATCCCCAGCAGTGGAAAGCAGATGACTATGAGTGAATATTATGCAGCAATAATTGGCTTTATTCGCTATGTTAAGTGAACATTGTTTTATGGATTTTATTTTTCTGCTAACTCCTTTGTTGTGTTTCGTTCTTACTTTGATATTGATTATGCTAGTAGTCATTTTGATTGCAGATCTATCATTGGTTACTTTTTCTTTTTTGTGGTAATTCTCTTATCTCCCCACTGGGGCAAGAAATAAACTATTTCATCTTACCCTAGTACTAAAGTTGAAATAGAACTCTCAGTGATATCACAGTAGAATTTCTTTTATTACTGTGGCTTCTTGAAGATATGGCTATTACTTAGTCTTCTTCTATTGATTTATATTGTGATAATCAAAATATTATATAGATTGCTGACAATGATATATTTTATAAACGCACAAAGCACATTAGGTTAATTGTCATTTAATTCAGGATCATGTTGCTAAAGGAACTATTTACTTTGTTTTCATTGGTTTTGCTGCTCAACTTGTGGATTTTTTTTCCAAGGTTCACTTTCCTGAATGCTTTAATACTCTTCTCTCCAAACTAATCTGGTCGCTTCATCACTAACTTCAGTTTGAAGGAGATGTTATAAAATATTTATATTATAATTAAGTTAATTGAGTTTATATTACAATTGGTTGATATAATTAGATTAAGTGAATTTATATTATAGAGTATGCTCTTATACATTTTTATAAATAGTTACTTTGTATATTCAGTAAAATAAAATAATAATAATAATAATAAAAAAACATCACTTCATATTTTTTCGTTTATTTTCTCACAGGGTTAAGGTCATCTATCGTCCCTCTACTATCAAAAATAGTGCATTCTAAACCTTTTACTATGGATTTGCTTCATGTCGTCCCTCTACTATTAATTAACTCCACTTGTCATCCCTCTACAATGTAGAAACACCCAAATGTCGTCCCTCTGTCCACGGTAACTAACGGTGCTGTTTATTAATAGTTAAATGCAACGGTCACACCGGTTATCATGTCTTTTTTGGCCACTCTTTCTTGTGGGCCCCACCCTTATCACATCATCTCTCCCACAAATTTTTGCCTTGGCCTAACTTCCTACTGCCTCCCCCAACCCAACGTGGAATCCTGCATAAGGTAATTATGGAATTTACAATTGATAATTTTTAAATAATAAAATATGAAAATCTCATAATTTGAGAAGATAATAGATAAATAAAGATGATAACTTTGTTATTAATCTATTTAAAAATATAAATTTTTTAGATTTTTAAATTAAATAGTAAATTTTTTCTTTTTCTTAAAAAGATGATAATATAAAATTTTACAAATTTTCTTACTTTTTTTTGAAGATTTATTAAAGAATCATGATAACATAATAAATGATAATCTTAATCAAAATAGGATAATATTTATGTATTTAAATTAAAGAAGTGAAAATTTACTATTATATACTTCAAGAATAAAGGAAATTTTAGATAATCTCGTGTAGTTTATTAGTATATTCAGTAGAGGTTATTTTTTTTTTCTAATTTAAAAATTCAAAAAATTTTAAAAAGGAAAATTTACTATTGAATTTAAAAATTCAAAAATTTATATCTTTGAATAAAAAAATTGATAAATTCATATTTTTATCTAAATCTTTTTTAATCAATTAAGAATTCACAAAAACCCAATATGTTTTTTTTTTTTTTTGGTTTCCCGTCCGATATCCAGAGCTTGGCCCCGACTAATCCGGACCCGACCCGCGTCGCGCACCTGGAAATGGTGGGTGAGTCTCCCAGCGAGGACTGCTGCATCCACAAGCTCTCGAACTCGAAACCTTGCTTAAGCGGAACAAGCCACTTACCACTTGATCCAACCCCTCGTTGGTTCAAAAAACCAATATGTTAAAGATACAAAAAATTGGTTTAAGTACCATTTTGGTCCCTCAACTTGTCACTTTGGTACCAAAATTGTCCCTCAGCTTTAAAAAGTATCAAAATTATCCTCAAATTTTCATTTTCGGTACCAAAATGATCCTTCCGTCAGTTAAATAACAGGTGGACCGTTAAAATGCCACAAAATCATTAAACTTTTTGAATCTTAATGATGTGTCAATCCAAGTAAGAAAATTTTTTATACACGTGACCTATTTTTCTACACATCATATTATCACTTTTTAACTTTCCCTTTTAATGGGGCCCATGTGACTTTTTTAACTTTTCTTATTCTTTCTCTCCTCTGTTCTCTCTTCTTCTTCCTCTCCAGATCTGGGTTCTTTCAACCCAATAAGAACAATCGATGGCAATGGAATCGAAACCACGCAACATCATCTTCAACACAAATCCACACCAGAACG